ATGAAAGATTAACACATGTTATCCGGAGGGTAGCAGGTCAGTGAGCCGAGGACATGTTCGCGCAACACAACAGTCTTCCCTACGCGGCAATCCTCCTTCGGTTTCTAATGAGACGACATTGTATATTCCTTCCAACCAACGCTTGCTTTGAAACGGAAATGGAAGTCTTCGAAACCCACTTCTTATTCATACTATGGAGAGAGAGAAAGAGAGAGATTGCGACCGATGAAAGACTGGAAGTTGAATTCCCCCACTTTAATCAAGGTCTAGCTACAGACTTCAGGCCGAACAGGGTTTTAGCAGGCAACGCCTTCAAGGAGGCTTGGAGTGATAAGAGTGCCGCCTGTCAGGGCTTGTTTTCCGCCTGCTCCAACGGCCTGCACTCATCCACGGCCCTGGTTTCCAAAGCATTCGGGTCACTTGCAGGATTGCATCCTCAACCGTGGCGGCGAGGAAGTGTGTAGTGGATTCAACGGCACAAGTGCGACAGACGGTGAAAACAGAAAGTGGTTGTCGCAGTTGGCGATGCAATACTACTAATTATGGCGAATCAGTAATATGCCGTGACGAGAGGGGCAGGCAAGTGCAAAAATGATATCAAGAGGTGCAACCAAGTGTCACGTGGAGGCATGCAGTAGGTGAGATAGAGAGTCCGTCTAAATTGGGCTGGTCTCGCCAAGCGACTGAAACCGTCTTTATGGTACAGACATAGGCATAGGCTCTGACTAAAGTCTGGCGCTAGGCCGACGAAAGTGTAGACTTGCGGCCGCGGCACGCCAACAGCCTACGGAGACCCCCAGAACTCCACGCCACAGTAGCTGCACACAGTCAATACGCATTGGCAAGACGACTATTAGGTTGACCTGGCTTTTGGACATTGCTGAAGTGGAGACTGTAGTCTCCTTTTTCTAAGACAAAAGCTACGGCGACGGCGACGGCGACAGCGAGGACAGATCTTACTCACTCGACGCCTCACCGGCGACTCGGACTCTGAGGCTGGGGCCGGACAGAAGCCCCTAGTTTGGCCGTCCAGCCAGTCTCGGCCAGGACACCCGAGTCCCTGCGGGCCACCGCGGTTTCAAGCAGAGATAGGAGCAGAGTTGAAACCAGGCGATTGGGAAGAGGAAGAGGCGACAATGAGTCGGCGTCTTAGCCAAACAACATTTGTCACTACCCGGTACCGCAGTCAGACGAGAGAGGAGCTAGGCCCTGTCTGCAATGAAGCCTCAGTTATTTGGCGTATTTTCAACGGAAATGCACAAATTGCGTGCAGAATGTTTACTGTGGAGTGAAAAAAGAGACCTAACCGCTCGTATGGACAGGCGTCTTTTGCAAACACTGGCTCGCTTCCTAGACCCAGTTGGAAGCTATTGTTTGTTTTCACGAATACAGACCTCTGACATCCTTCGCGTTCGGTGGTGCAAGAACCCTCCCTCGGTTCCACTGGACTAGACCGGATTTTGGCAAACATTGACCACATTTTATTACATTCCAACTCTCTATAAACGGCCATGAAGGAGGCACCCTGTAGTCTAGCCCTGGCCTGATAAGTAGTCGCTAAAGTAGTATGACATTCGACGAAGAGGAGAGGGG